TTTAAATACTGCGATGAAAATGCCTAATAATTTTCAGCTGTAACTCATAAAACTCTTTTAGATTTATGTAAGAACTTCAACTGTCCAGGGAAGAACTGATGACTTATGTAATGAGTTGGCTCCACACTTTTCTCCTTATGCCAAGAACTACGTCACTCCAAGGGGCCAACTTGACCTTGTCTCCAGACTGCATTTTTTGTTTGCTGTTTGTCACAATAGTACATGAGAAGAGCTTAAAGACAGATCTACTAGAAGTACAACATTGAAAATGTTCTCATCCTGAATTCGCTTCTGGAAGACAATTACTTTCATCTATTGTTTTCTTTTGTCATTTATTTCAGTGTCTCTAAATGCTATGCTTCTGCCACTAATGACTAATTAATCAAACACTTGTGAGCTTCCTGCTATAAAAGATAAAGAGTCAGCCTTAGATCACCAATATCATCTCTTTTCTTCTCCGCTGTTTCTTTGTTACAGTATTCTCAAGTCATTTTATCACAATTTTGTGTTAACTAGATGGCCAATTTTCACACTGTGACTACTGCTAACTTACAATTCAAGTATTATACAATGATTATATTTTACATATTACTTTCCTAAAACTAGGAGTTGCCTTTTCACTTTCTAAAGTTTTCATGTATCTATAATTTTTAAGATATTTGAGCCTCAAAACTTTTAAGTTACATTTTTCCGAGTACTGGGAATTGAACTCATGACCTTGGGCTCACAAGGCAGGAATGGTGCCACTGAGCTAAATCCCCGGCCCTTAAATTCCATTTTATAGTCTACTTCCTTACTTCATCGTGTAGCTCTGGTGGGTGTAGATCTATCGCAGAGTCATCGCAGGAAGTATCACTTACCTCTCTTCCATGTTAGTGCTGTTGTATAGTGGATTTCATATTTTCCCGTTTCTTCATTCATTCCCTCATTTTCCCAAGGCGCCTCATCCAGTGGTCTTTTTTAAAAATACAAAGTATATGAAAAGAAAATAGTTTAGAAACCTAAGGATTGGAAAATATCTGCCTTGTTCCTTCACACTTGTTTGGTACATTGGCTGGATATAAAGTTTTGACTGGATATCATTTCTCTCAGATTCTGGAACTGGACAAGTTTTGAAGTTCCATGGCCTTCTAGGTTCCAAGTTGCTTTTGGAAATACAATGTTTCTATCCTTTTTAAATTGCTTACTATACCTCCACTTTCTTTCAGTCTTCCAAATATATGTTAAACTCATTTCTACTCTCGCTACTCCTTTAAGTATCGGGAGTAGAAATGAGTAACCTTGACTTTGGAGTCTATACCATTTAAAAAAAAATTTTACCTATTATTTTAATGGAGCTTTGGTATAACTAAGTGGTAAATTTATGTGATTGATCTACTATTGTTTCTTGAAGAGTTATCACATATTTAAAACTATGCAAACTTTTTGCAAATGTAGACAGTCTCCACTTTACAGTGGTTCAATTTATGAACTTTTTAATTTTATGATGTTGCAAAAGCCACATGTATTTAGTAGAAATTGTGCTCTAAAGTATTATATTTTCCAGTACTAAAGATAGATTGTACAGTAGTGTTTTGTGATGCTGATCAGCAGCAATGAACTACAAGTCCTAGTAAGCCACGTAGTCGTGAGGGCGAATAACCAATACTCTAAGCAGGATGGACACACCTATGTTATCATAAAATGTTTTTTTTAAAAAAGAGGTTTTTTTCTATGTACACTAACTGTATAGTATATTTTATATGTGGCCAAAGACAATTCCTGTTCACTCAGTGTGGCGCAGGCAAGCCAGGCAAGTCCCACCTTCAAGCCACAAGCTGGAGATGTCTGCATGGTCTACTGATCTGCTAAACTACAATGTGATGTAGTTTAAGTGTATCAAATTCATTTTTTTTACTGGGATATCCCAGCCACCCCCACAACACACACCTTCCTGACTTGCCCAGGCTGGGCTCCAAACTGAGATTCTTCTGTCACAAATTCCTGAGTAGCTGTGATTACATCCATGTGCCACTACACCCAACTTAAATGCAGTTTTGATTTCCAGTATTTTCAACCTATGGTGAGTGTATTATAGCATGACCCTGACCTAAGTTAAGGAGCATCTATATTATAAAACTACTCGGATAGCAACCCTGACAGTAGGTAGACTAGTCCCATTGACAATGGGATAGCTGGAACTCCGAATATTAGTAGTTTAAGCTTGAGGAGCCAGATTAAAGAGACATATTGAAATTTAAAACTAAGTTTTTCCCTCTCCTCAAGTGTAAGGGACACATACAGCATGCATTTCTAGTGGAAGTCACAAGTCATAAAGAGATGCAAACCATGCTTCTCCCTGTATTTTGCCACAGTAAACTAATACTACTGCTGTGATTTTAATCATTCCTTTGAATTGCTATCTGAACTTTAGAGTTCAAGCTTTCCTCTGCAATTGCTTTTATAATTCCACAGTGGAAACTGGAACACCTATAACCAAATGCTGGTGGTCTGACTAATACAAAATAGTGGAGTGTATGCAAACAGACAAGGAAAACGGAAGTAATGATCTTTGGATCTGAAAGTAAATATACTTTAATATGTAATTACCTTATGTCAGAGTCCAGGACACAATGATACAACAACGTTCTTTGAAGTTTTTGCTTACCTTCCCACAGAGGGCACAAACAGCACCCTCTAATTTGAAAATGAAAAATAAGTCATTGAATTCCAAAAAAGGGGGACATTCTACTGAGTGTTTACGAACAAACACCCATACCTAATAATTTGTGGTGTGTTTGTGTCCCTTCAGTTTTCTGTCTGTGGCTGTAACAGCAGATGTGCTGTGTGCCTCACAATGGATTGTTGAAGCGCATTTTCAGTTCATACCTTCTGAAAGTTTCTATTTCTTTACCCACTGAAGGATTTGCCCATTTGTTTTCCCAAGTGAACCCCAGGTCCTGTACTTCCTTATTTTATTACATAATTAGGCCCCACTTTGTTTTTTCTATTTTATTTTATCAATCTATTTTATTAGTACATGTTTATAGTACATAACAATCATATTCATCATTTATCGATGTACATAACACATCTTAATTCCTTTTGGTCCCCTTCCACTCCCATCCCGCTCTGCTCTCTCCAACCCTTAATTCCTTTCTTATTTGAAAAAGCTATATTTCCATTTTTTATTTGATTCTTTCTAATCCCTTTTTTCTTCCTTCCCCTCCCATTTCTTATTCCCCTTCCCATTTGAAAAGGATCTCCCTACTTCCTATTACCTATCCTTTATTTTGCATTTTATTTATATTTTGGGTGTCTTTTTCATGTAGTTTAAATCCAAAAGAAAGGGAGAAAGTATTTGGGTCAAGCAGTGAAAGGGTGAAATTCGGCAGTAACTCCTCTTATATGGGGCAAATCGTTCTACCCCTTGGACTCTCAAGGCTTCTCATCTTTAAAATTAAATAATACAGATAGGTCTTCAAATCCCCTTTCAGTCCTTCAATGCTATTTCTACACTTGATGAATCTGTTTGAATTATCTCAAACCAGTCGTTACTGCTTCACTACATATCTGACTGTGAAATAATTTGCTCATTAATTTATTTAATGTATGTCTCTTGGCCATCATACTCAGAGCAAAGTGTGCAGCATCAAATGAACAAACAGTTCTCAGCCTCATTGAGTGCACAATGAAGAGGGAAAGAAAGATAAAAAGCAAATTTAAATAATTATTGTAAATATTAAAAGTAAAAGATAACCTCAAGTGCTGCAAGAAAGAGTAATAGGAATATAATTCAGATGTGGAAACAAAATGTTTTAAGAAAGTTTCATTGAGGAAATGCTGAGAAGCCATATGTGGTGGTGCACTCCTGTAATCCCAGCACTTAGGAGGCTGAGGCAGGAGGATTCGCTGTGAGTACAAGGTTGACCCCACCTACACAGTGAGTTTGAGGCCAGCCTGAAGTACATAGCAAGACTCTGTCTCAAAAAAAAAACAAAAAAAAAAAATGCTAAGAAAAGCAAAAGATAAGGAAGGATCACTAGTGAAGAATAATTAAAAACAGTGTTCCAGCCATATAGAGCAGGATGTGTAAAGATTCTGAGGAATGCAAGAGCTTAAACATTCAGAAACTAAAACAACTTCACATGGCTAAAGCATAGTCAGCAAAAGGGGTTGGCCTGAGAGAAAGTTAATGTGGGCTCCGACCAAATTACACTAAACGTTACTGTCACAGTGAATATCTTTTATGACATCTGGTAGAAAATGCTGAATGATGTTTAAGCAAGAGAGAGAAGTTGCTCAATTACATTTTAAAAGACTATGCCAGCCACTGGGTTAAACAAAAAAGGATAGAAAAAGATGAAGGGATAAGGGTAGCTAGGATGAGGGCAGCTAAGGAGACAATGGTGAAAAAAAGTGGAATTTATGTTTAATCTTGAAAATCCTCATTCTGGGTCTTTAGTGAAAGTTGGTGGGATGCCTGTGGCCTCATGTCCCCCTTTATGAGGATGTATTCTTGTACCTGCACTCCAGTGACCAATTTGTTGGAGTCCCCTTGCCTCTCCAGGTGGTCTTCACGGTCAGCATTCCCCATTTAGCAGTCATTTCCTTGAGTTTTTTCAAAAACTCAGAGGCTGTGAAAGGAAGACAAGTAAGAGTTGGTGAAGTCTGAGGACAGGCACGAGTCAGCAAGACACAGAGAAGCAGCAACAGTGACCTACATGAACAGTAAGGAAAGTAGATTTTGCTATGGACAACAAAAGTGCAGAAGGCTTAGGCTTCTAGATTCATGAATAGGAAAGAAAGGAAGGGAAATCAGATTTGCTACAGTAGGTAGAAAAATGTGAAAGAGTATAAAACAACCATATATTTTTTTTTTTCCAGTTTGGAAGTTTCATGAAAAAGTCATAGGAAAGAATTATCTGGTTTTAGCAATGACCTTGTTTTCAGTAATTTTGGACTGGTCAATAGGAAAGGTTAGGCTGTATCTTAACCAAAGTTTGTCATGTGCCTGACAGGAACAAATGCTAAGCATGGACTGCGCTGCAAAGCCTGTAAGATGAGCATCCACCACAAGTGTACAGATGGCCTCGCACACCAGCGGTGCATGGGCAAGCTGGTAAGAGCTTGTGTCGAGAGGGAGTACTAGAATTCCCTGCCCAAATGAGGTCACCCCCTCCAGACTCCTCCTTTGTAGCCTTGAAGTTACCCAGTATCCCTGGTCTGCTTCCTGATTGGCACAATGATAGAGCCAAGGAGCAGCCTATCGGTCCTCTGACAAATGCCTCACCTTGGAAAAGGGTCAGGTCCTTAAAAGAAGTGAGCCGTTTTTTCCACATTAGGGCTTTCAATTTTAGCACAAGCACAGCCCCTTGGTGCTGTTCAGGTTTGCAAAGTGAATTTCATACATCCCAGGAACACCCTCAGCCTCAGCCAAACTAGAGTAGTTTGTCATCTAGTACTTAAATTTGTTGTCAGTTCAGTGGGTGTCAAGAGAGGACTGTGCCTAACATCTACAAAATTCAGGGGTATTACAGTCTATGCCATTTTAACAGAATCGTGTTGGCCAAACGAAGGGAAACTGGGACTGTCTCAGCACATTCTGGGCTGATCTTGGTATCTCTGGAGCATGGACTTTAGACCTTTTGCCACACATTTTGATGAAAAGCAACTCGGCAGAGTGAAGAGTATTTGTGACTGGGATGTTCAAAGAATTGTACCTAGACTGTCTACTCTATAGAATAATTAGATGGAACATAACAACTGTTTTTGAAATGCAAGACCAATTACACAGCAAGGGAATTCTATTATCTTTTCTGGCTCTGGAGCTTTTCTGGCTCTAGAATCAGTGGATGCCAAGTCTTAACACTCAGAAGCAACGTCACCAAAGATCTGTTCTGGAGTTATGAGGTGCTCCAGGACTGGGAATTTAGCTCAGTGGTTCTACCACCTGCCTTGCAAGCAAAACGTCCCTAGTTCGATTCCCAGTACAATAAAAAGAAAAAAAAAAACAGGTGCTTCTAACCCCCATTCACATACCACTACCACCCTCCCATCACTACTGATAATGTTCAGACAAAGGAGGACACAGTTACCAGAAACATTGGAGAGGATTCTAGGATTCTAGTGAAAACCAGGCCATCAAATTCCCTTCCAACACTGGGATATAGTGAGTCCAAATTCTTAGAACGCTCATCCACTTACTCTAACTTGCAATGCCTTCTGCTCTCAAATTCTTGCCTCACAGGTTCCCCATCTCCTTCTCTGATAGCAGTTCTCAAAGACCACAGCAAAACCATGGAAAAGAGGCCCGATAGATAAACAGAATCTCAAAAGCCAAACAAATGACTTTTGGGCAAGCCTACCCCGAGGTCTGCTAGCCATGCCCAAGCCTAGAATGATTTTAACTGTGGAATAAGAATGCAAGGAGATCCCTTTGCATCCCGGGAGATAATAGGAATCTTACACACAGTGGAGGCTGTGGGGCATTGCAGGGATAGGAGAAACAAGGCAGGGGCAGGAGCTTGCTTTCTGGATGGAGCCTAACTTGCCTAATGGCATCTATTATTCCTCCCTCCCACAATTCCCATCAGTAAGGAATTACAGAATCAATAGGATGTTAACATCTTAAAGTAAGAGACCAATTACTTTAATTTTAGGATTTTCATGTCATTTTCTTCATTTCTTAGATGATAATAAGCCCTTCTCTTTTTCATTCTCTCACCAGCCAAAGGGGTTTCGGCGTTACTACAGCTCCCCTTTGCTCATTCACGAACAGTTTGGATGCATTAAAGAAGTTATGCCCATTGGTGAGTTATGCCCATTGGTGAGTCGGGACATTGATGGGGTCGGGACGTTGAGTTGGGCTTTGAGCAGCAAAATCAGCAATGACTACTTACTGTCCTCTAAAAACTATAAAGCAAGAGGATGCTTTAGTGCATTTCTTATCGGCTACGTGGATTGTAATTATTTGCTGGAGAGGAAACATGAAGCGGGACACATTCTCCAAGAATTTCCAACTTCTCTCTGATGAAACTTGAAATACACCTAAGTCTCAAAGGCTGCTGAAATTCTTTACCAACCAAGTGTATGTAGCAGAGCGGAAAGAGCATAGAATGTGGCAGCCCACAGACTTGGTGCCAAGCCCAGTGCCCTCACTGACCAATTATGAATTTCAACAAATAATTCAACCTGTCAGATCCTATAATGAGAACAGCAGTCACTGATTTTAATAATTATTGTAAAAAATATATGTTATAAACTAATGCTGAGTAGGCACTCAGTGACTATGGGTTATTCTTTAGTAAGAACCTAAAAATGCCCTATATTTATAGACATATCTGGCTTCAGTTTCTTCTTTAACAACATCTTTTAATTTGCTTTGATCTTTTTTATCTCTCTGCAAATCTCTACACCTATTTTTTTTCCTTTTTAGTGGGACAGGATTTAAATTAGAAATTTATAAACTGCAAAATTTTTAGTTAGGTATTTATGAAGCCTAATAATTTCAAGTTCTTTTGAAAAACTTGCCTTTTGTTGCAAACTTTGTGCCTCAAGACTTTGTCCCTTGGTGAGGAAAGCCTCCTACCAGAGGAAATGAAACTCCTCTTTGAGAAAAACCTTAAAATTGGAATGCTGCAGATAGATAACTCAGGAATATCAGAGCGTAGAACCTACTTCTCAGGTTCTGTTGACCCAGACGTTGTGGTAGGTGGTTGGCTGGGTTCTCTGAGATGAGCTTTCTCAGATGGTCCTTCTCTTCTGTTGCAGCATGTGGCAATAAGGTGGACCCTGTCTACGAGGCCCTTCGCTTCGGCACTTCCCTGGCCCAGAGAACAAAGAAGGGAAGCTCTGGCAGTGGCTCTGATTCACCTCACAGAACGTCGGTAATTACCCTCTTTCTCCTTTAGTTCACTCGTGGTGTCTTGGACAGTCCTGATCTCTGGCACTGCAATGTGAAGGGTTCCACCTAAATGTGTCAAAAGGACAAGTCTGTGGGAGTCAGGCAGCCTCCAAAGGGAAACCCACAGTGCTTTGCGCCAGAGGATTACTTTCCTACTCAGACACCCTCCTCTTGGCCTCATGACTCTTCCCATGGGCCTGCTTTCCTTTACCCTCCTTTCATCATTTAAGATAACACATCAGTTGACACGTAGGAAACTCTAGGCTATAAACAATGGACAGCAGAAGAGAATTCCTGGCTGTTTCCCTTTCTCCTTTCAGTTATACCCCAATTCTCACTTTTTCTCAGAACTTTCTATCTAAGACAAGATTCACCACTTCATTTCATTAGTGCCTGACCAGTGATATGATTCCTCTCCAAGGATACGCAGCCTCCCAAACACCTTTTCTAAAATTTATCTGATCTAAACTCTACCACACATCTCTGTTACCTGTTATAACCCTATCTGGCTATCCTATTCCAAATTTCTATAATGCTTCAAGGTGCAGAAGAACTGTGCAGCCCTTGCTGAAGGCCATCCCAACTGCAAAGAAGCAAGGACATTCCAGTTCACATTAGATAGCCAGCACCCAGTTTCATTGCCACAGCCCCTGCTGGACCAGGAGCTTTCCAAGCAGGACCTGGATGAGCCTCCGCATGGTCTGCCACTCTGGGTCCTCTCAGCATCAAGTGGTGAGGGGAGGTAGTGGGAAGAACAGTAGGGTCCCCCCACAGGAGGGGGTACAGGTCAGTTCATGCAGCAGCATGAGACTGTAGGGATTGAGGAGGAGCACAAGTCAGACAGGTGAGTAGGTGGGTTCATAGGTCCCTGACTCATGCCACAAGGTTATTTTAGAAGCCATCTTCAAACTCATTGAAAGCTCTGTCCTTTAGACATTCCACTGATTTCTAAGACCAGGAATACTTGTACTCTACTGGCTTGTATATAAAATTGTTGCCAGTTAGTTTCTTCTATTCAGCAAACATTAAGAAGCACCACATCCTTAGGTTCCAGAACTTATTTCTGCAGCCCCAACAGAGAAGAAAGATGATCACAGAGACATTTTAGCACTTCTTACAAATATACTCTTTATTCTTTTTATCCTATTGTATTTTATTTGTTTGTTTGTTTGTTTGGTACTGGGGATCAAACTCTGGACCTTCTGCGAGGCAGGCAGCAGAAGCACTGAGCTAAATCCCCAGCCCTTCCTGCTGTATTTTTTAAAAACATAATATATATGTATTAATATTATGATAAACATCCCATGTGAACACTAAAGGATTTCATAGTAAGATGAAAAATGTTTAGTTTCAGTAAACTCTGTCTCAAAGCAGCGAAGACATAATTTGTGATATTTTAAGATAACTGAAACCTAATACTATTCCCAGAGACATTATTATCATTTGGTAGTTCAAAGGGAAACGTTAACTTATTTTCTGAAAAAAATCATAGAAATGGTGCTAAATGTCATTTTTAAAATATATACAATACAACATGATATGATTGATATTAAAGTCATGTTTCATATAGCAATGTTTCAACTAATGACAGACCACATATCAAGGTGATTCCTTGAGATTATGACATGACTTTTTACTTTACCTTTTCTGCCTAGATACATGCATACGTATCATTGTGTTTCAATTGCATATGGTATTCAGTACATAGCATGTTGTACAGCTCATCGCCTACGAGCAATATAATGTGCCATATAGCCCAGGCGTGCAGTGGGCTGTGCCATCTGAGTTTGTGTAAGTGTACTCTGTGATCTGTACACAGTGATGAAATCTCTTAACAATACATTTTTCAGAACATAATCCCTGTTGTTAAATGGTCCACGGCCATGTATAAACATCTCATGGCTATATGTGTGAGGTACTATTAATATAATAATATACATATTTATAATACGTACATAAAGTATGCATTATGTAAGAATTACATAAGGAATGTAGCATGGGGCCATGGCTATATGTGTGAGGTACTATTAATATAATAATATACATATTTATAATACGTACATAAAGTATGCATTATGTAAGAATTACATAAGGAATGTAGCATGGGGCCTGGCATAATTTACACTCAATAAATGGAATTTCTGCTGCTTTACTTCATTAGGCATGTAGGCCTCAGCTGGGTTTTCCTTGAACTTGAGTTATGAAGTTAAACAAGGCTGTAATCCATTAGCAAGGCAAGCACATCATTTGAGGGCATTTCCCAGAGCCACCCCTTAACAGGGACCATGTTCAGGCCTTGCTGGAAACTCTTGGCTCACTCAGTGTTCTGCTGCTTTCCTCTGCTCAGCTCATCTCCGCCTCTGACATGTCCTCCTCCAGTTAGGGTGATCCCGGGTGTCCACGTTTGCTTGTTCGTCTTGTTCTGCGTGCTCTTTATATTGCTCTTGTCCAGCATCCGTAAGTTCATCACTCCCTTAGATATCTCCAGTCCCATCTTCTTCCCAACTACCAGATCAGTCTTTTAGACTCTGAAAACTGAGCAGAATAAACTGCACTCCTACATCTTTGGTGATAGGGTCCAATAATGCAGGACTCAGAAATATGTATCGTAAGTGTCTTTCCTCTGTATCACCAATGCTGAACCTCATCATCTATCATTATCATTCAGGTAATTATAAAGGAATATATGTGCTACCCTCTTCCTTTAAAATCTACTCTTAGTATCTCGTGATTTATCATCCTTTAAATACTTTGTTCAGTTTTCCTAATTAAAATTCTGCAGTCACTTTGCTGAAAGGACAATATCCATGATCTTTAGCATGGTATAGGAAGCCTGTTGCTATCCTTAAAACCAGTCTTCTCCTGAACTCACCAAGCCCTTAAAATCTCCATAATCTACCTTAAAACATGTTGCTCCCTTTAATGAAATCCTGTAAAATGTAACTTGAGCTGGGTGTGGTGGCACATGCCTGTCATCCCAAAACTCTGAAAGACTGAGACTGGAGAATCCCAATATTGAGCCCAGCCTGGACAGCAGCAAGACCTTGTCTCAGAATGAAGACTATGAAATAAATAGGACACACATGTGTAAATACCGAATAGTTTCTCTGGTGTGAAAAACTAAAAGTGTAAATAAGGTTCAAATGGTATAATTGAGAGTGTGAAATAGGAAGAAAAGATCTAAAGGAGTAGGGGAAATGGAAAGGGTAGAGGAAAGGAAAGAAGGGAAAAGAAAAAATATGAGAAAAGGAAAAAAAATGGAAACAAAACCTTTGTAAATAGGGGAAGAGTGAAGGGGTTGAAGGGAGAGGGCAGGGGAATGGGGGAAAAATAGGAACCAAGATACATCATGTAAAGGTACAAGATCCCGAGGATGAATGTAACTGTACTATTTACCTAAAATGTACCAATAAACTTAATGGGGGAAAAAAAAAAGAAAGAAGACTAAAAAGGGGCTGGGGATATGTCCCTATGCAAAGGCCTTCAGTTCAATCAATCTCCATTATTGAAGGGAAAAAAAAAAAAGAACTAACTTTATTTTTACACAAACAATAAAGAATCCCTAGATTCCTCTAAGATGAGTTTCACCTTCCATAAGACTTCAAGAGTTCCTTTCATATAGGATATGTATTATTGAATTCTTTTTTTTTTTTCATTGAGTTTACCAGTACATTTTAGGTATACAGTACAGTTACATTCATCATTGGGATTTTGTGCCTTTACATGACAGGTCTTGGTTCTCCTTTTTTTCCCTTGTCCCTGCCCTTCCTTCACTCGCTCCTCCTCCCCATTTACAAACATTTTATTTCCATTTTTTCATTTTCTCATATTGTTTTCTTTTACCTTATTACCTTTCCCCCAAACTAGGCTACATCAGAGTCTCCTTGCTTAGCTCATTTGTACCATGACCTAACAAGGTGCCTGGCACAAAGTGAGCACTTGAGAGGTCCTTGGAAAATGACAAATATTTAACAAGCAGTTCTTGGGGACTGACCTCAGAATCCTCTGGGGTCTATACAACACTTCATTCCCCACACCCTGAGCTCCAGGCACAGTTTGCAGTTCTCTGGAAAGCCTTCCCTGTCCAAATGCCCATATGGTCTCTAGTGCCATGCTTCATGCTTTGGATGGTGCTCTCTTCACTGTCTCCTATGCAACCAGTTCATTAATCTGTGATTTATATAGTGCTTAGTAGCCTTCATTTTTGTGCTTAATTTTTTTCTCTTCTTCAGTCCCCTCCTTGACTAGACTAAGCTACTTAAATGCAAGAACTCTTCACATTATGTTTCCATTACCTTATCCTGGATATTCTCAAACTTCATTGAGTTCCAGAATTCAGTGGAGAAATGTATAACCATATAGAGGCCCAGGTCCTATCCTACTTCAGTGATGCTTGTCTTCAGTGAGCTTTATCAGTTGTCACATGAAACCAATACCCTCCAAAATTTGAGAACCATTAGGCAATACAGCATTAGCTCATACATCATTAGCCCATTGTCTATTCTCACTAAATACATGGTGAGTGAATGAACAAATGAATGTCCTCATCAGACCTTCTAACTTTCTAAGCAGAACCCACAGCTGACAACAAATTGAATCGGTGGTTCTCGGTGCATGTTCAACTGATCAGCACATAAGTACCACTGGGGAACATGTTAGAAGTACACATTCGGTTTCCCACATAGATGTACAGAATAGCTGACTTTGATGGTCCAGGAATCTCATTTTAACAAACCCTCCAGTTGATTCTGATCTACATAAAAGTTTGAGAAGTACTGAGTTAAATTAAGGACTTCAGTTCGCTTCCAAGGAAATCAGCCTCAGTCAGATTTCTCCTCTTTCTTTCTCATAGTCTTCTCTCCTTGCTCATAACTGTCCTTGTCCCTCTGTGTATAATGCTTTGGAATCACATACTTATGGTGGCCAGCAGGCTGGATCTGATATTTGAAACAGAGATTGAAAAATGCTGACTATCTCCATAACCCTGGGAACCACATTACATCTCTCTCAGGGAGTGAAGAGGGAAATTGCTTCTAATGAGTTGCTTCTTCTAAAAGCTACATATAACTGGCTTGGAGCCTGAAGCCATCCCTGCCTTACAAATCAAGACTTTGTAGCCACCACCCAGAAATTCAAAAGGAAAGCACAAATAAAACTGACCAGAAATTTCTGCCCACTTTAAACTGCACACTGAGCAGGCCCGTAATTTCTACGTTGTATTTCGTCTGCTACAGCAAGAACTTTGTACTTGGGTGAAGGCAGCCTTGCCAGAAGGGGAAGTGGCTATCCAGGACAGAGAGATGAGGGTAGAGAAGAGGCTCCCCTGAAATTACCCTGGACGATCCACAGAAGCAACAGGTGTCTGCACTTGTAACAGGGAGACATTTTCAGACTCACTTCATAGTAGGCAAGGAACATTTCAGCTGCTACATTTTTGGCTCGTGCTAAGAAGCAGCAAGAGCATCACAGAAAGAAGGATGCTCAGAGCTTTTGTCTCTAATATAGCTTTGTTTCTAGAAACATCTGGACCCTATGGATTGATTTTAGGGCAAAAACCCACATTGTTTTTGAATGTAAATAAGTTGTCTTTTGTCACTGTACAGTTACACTGTCACTGGTTGTACCAGTGAATGTTTTTCAGAGGTTTATTTAATGAAGCCATTGTTCTGAGAGCTTCAAAGAGACAAAGACAAATTAAATTGTACTTAAACATCTGCCACTTGACTCTTCCCCCAAAGACTAACTTGCCTCAGTAGAAGAAAACAAAACAATTGATTGCTACTTTAATATGATTTTGCCTGCTTTCTGCAGGGTCAAGTGGCAATGAACTTCAGCCTCTTGCCATTCTTTAGCATTTTTATGTCCTAAAGCTACCATATTCCCACATAGCAAAGTGTTACTCCACAGGTTTATTTACTTTCAGGACTATAGAGACATTTTACACTGTTGGGAAGTCATTGCCTGACTGTTTCCAAATCATGTTTTCTTTAATATGTTTTCAAATGTTCCTTGAATATGAAAGACATAATGGCTTTGAAGAGGCCAGCAGAAACCAAACTTAAAAAACAAGAAAAACATTCTGGGAGTTACTTGATTTGGTTTGTAAGACTAAATCAAAATAAATGGAATGAAAATTCTCTGCAGAGTAATTTTTGTGCAGAAATTATGAGCTTCAAAGGGAGTAGGGTATGAGTGACTTAGAGATCCTGTACTGTTTGTGCTGTTTATTTATTTTTTCCTGAAGTGTTGTGAAAGTAAAACTGACTGAAAAAACTTTGAAGCTAAACTATAACAAAAGTCAGTCTTGGAGGGGCTGGGGATTTAGCTCAGTGGCACCATGCCTGCCTCACAAGTCCAAGGTCCTGAGTTTGATCCCTGGTACCATAAATAAACAAACAAAAATCAGTCCTAGATATTGGTGCTAAAGTGTTCTAGAGCTGACTAGGATCACAGGCAAGTAAACTTGTTCCCTCTAATAACATATAAATAGTTTTATTTTTCAAATATCATTTTTTCCCAAAGCCCCCTAAATTCCTCTCTGAAGAGGATGGAGCCAGGTAGATAGAAGGTATATAAACTGGCTCTTTGAAAGAAGCAATCAGTAGGAACACATAGCCTTTGCTGATTCTGTAGTCTAAATACCCCTACCACGATCATTTTTATGCTACCCATGTGGCGACCCTGGAGACTCCTGGAGCCACGGAGCCAGGTCATCGTGGGATGGAACAGTGCTGGTGCAATGCTTGGGACACGCTATCCTACCTCTGTGCCCCAGTTGCTGTGGAACTTCAAGTTGAGTTACAATTCTGGGTTTCAGATTCCTTTCTGAAAAAAAGGGGTCAATCAGGATTATTGTGAAGAATAAATGAGGTGATGATACAAGCATTTAAAAACAGCACATAGTAAATAATCAGGAATCATCCGCTATTGTGGGTGCTGTTTGTTGTTGTTGCTGTTACTGTCTTTGTTATTTTTATAATCTAAGTGGAAGAATGGTTCTGGCTTATTTTCTAAATGGCAGAATAAGTATAAAAAACAGTTCATTTGCATTTTATTGTTTAGTGCACCTATTTGCAGTGTACCTTATTCTCTCTATATAATTAATATTTAAAATTCATCTGTTAAAAAAGCTGTGGTTTCATTGAAAATTCTAAGTGTCAGGTTATGGGTAGAACTTATGATTTTCCCTTGTCTGCTCCTGGGAAGAACCCTAACTGCATTGTATGTTCAGTCACCCACTCAGCATTCACTGAGTGCCTATCACCGTCAAGCCTGATGCTGCCACAGTTACCCAAAGGGAAGGACAGTGCCCAAGAGGGTCACATGCCCTCTCTGAAGTTAGTCTCAGACAAGAGGGCTCTCATCAGATTCAAAAACATCATGCAAGTTCCACTTTGCTTTTTTGCTGACATCAAAATCATGGCTTGGTTGTCCCAGTGATAAGACATTGCTTATTCCATGCTGTTTCCTCTTTCTTCCAAGGCTTCAGATCTCGTGGAAGTTCCTGAAGAAGCTGATGGGCCAGGAGAAGGATACGACCTAAGGAAACGCAGCAACAGCGGTGAGGGAATTGCCTGGCATAAATGTGAACGCATTAGTCAGGGTCAGTGGGCAGGTGAAGTCACTTTCCAGTACCCTCGCTTTCACTGCTAGCTCTGAAATCCAATCCAAGCAATCATTTAGTATTCTGGAGGGAAACTGAGTATAGCTTTTGGCAAATTTCACTGATTTGACACTAACAGTTCCCTGAATCTGTTACTTGAATCTTCGAACTGCATGGGCTTAGTCATACTGAACTTTGGGACCATGTTCAGACCTTTTTGTGAATGTGTTATTTCTCCACTAACCTAAGTTAGATTTGCAAACCATACCACAGAGAAGCTACTTTGTGCTACAACTACAGTATCTGAAATCAGTGTGTGTGTGTTTGGGGGGATGTGGGGGGAAATACAGTCCTCACATTTGGCTGCTTCCCTGGCAGAAACAACCGAGACTCTCAAAAACTGATATGTATAATCCAGCTAAACATTCTTTACCAATATGATTTCATCTTCTAATAACTAGAGCACTTGTTACAATAATTTCTAAAATATTTAGTAACTTCCAACTCTATAATATTACATGCTAATATTAAGAAAGAACTACTTCTTTGACCAAGTTAAAGACACACACCCAGGCCTTTATGGATGCCTTCTCGCTAAGCCTTTTTGACATTAACAGCCACTTACCATCACTCGTTTATCAACAAAAATCATGAAACGTTTAGTTTCACCAGCAAAATAACCATCACAAAACCTGTGCTGTAGTTGCTCACGGTCTAGCAAAGGTGTAAATCCTGAACTGTGCTCAGCTGAATCCATTTTTATGGCAGACACGTTCCCTCTGGGCTCTAACCCCACAGGCCAAGCATGGAGATGTGTTACGTTGGGTAGATTTTCCCGTTGACTAGTTGTCTCTTCCTCTACCAGCCTGGATGCAGAAATCTTAGTCTGTAGTGCATACCTGCTTTGTCAGGAGCTGTCTTATGAGGGATCCCTTCTACGTCTTTTACTCTGGGAATTCACTGACGCCTCATCCCTAGTCAGGCCGGTGCTCATGTGAGTCCCACAAGGCACCATGTGTTTAGCTGCCCCTGTGACTCTCCCTAAATGAGCATCGCTCTTGAGCACGGCCCCTCATGCCAAGCATGCACTCATTTGCTCACACTTGCTGCTTGAGTGTGGATTCTTCAGCATCACACAGGGGAAACTGTACATTTAGGTCAGGGCAAACATTTGTTGAACATTTAACATACCCTTAGAAAGGCAAAGTAAACTTCACAGAAGGCCGTGACTCAGCAGGGTTATCCTAGCTGAGTCCGTCTGGCATTGGAGGTACCGCAACTCCACACAGGAGAGCCTGCAGTTTACATCAGAGCTGCTTGTTCAACTTCAGCCTGCTCAGCTACTGCATCCTGAGTCTGACTTCTGCCTTCATCTTTCCCTGACACACTTTTCACCGACATTGCTGATGGCTCCTTGCCGCTAATTGCCCTGGAATGTGGTCCTTGGCACATTCTTCTGCGGAGGCAGTCAGACTTCCCTTAATGATTGTGTAACCTTGAAGCAGTGACCTAGACTCTCTCCATTCAATCACCCTATCACTAAAATGAAAATAATAACACCAGAGAGTTGCTGTGATCTTTGAGTGAGACAACAGACAGAAATACCATCCACACAGTGATAGCATCCAAACTTCGTCTCCAGCGTTAGGTTTCTTTGTTGCCTCCTAAATCTCACCTATGAACAATGGTCCCCTGTTACACAGAGCTAACACACAAGGAGATTCTCTCACCCACCCTCATCATCTCTACTCAGCAAATAGGAACTTCATACAATAAATTTAGTAGGCCAGAGTCTTGTATCAACTCTGATTCCCCTTTCCTCTCACATCTCATTATCCAATCTGTCAGCGAACCCTAACAGCAGCTGCTTAGAATGATGCTCAGCAAATACCCGCCATTAACTCTCTGCCTCCGCCATCCTGCCGGCTCTATCAATGCCATTGCTCACCCACTTAGTAATTAAGGCCTCTGTATAACCTGGGAATTTCTTATTATTAAAGCTGGCCTTACGAGGATTTTATACGGTAAAGGTATATACATTGGAATCATCAGTATGAAGCAGAGTTGCTGTTAACAAATCCATCATAATGTCATAAATGGTCAGAGGTGCAGAATTAATTAATTAATTAATTAATTAATT